AGACTTCTCTAAATACATCTTATTTTGTACATTTGTTTTTGGAAAGATGTAAATAGTTTACATAATTATAAAACAAAATTAAATCACCATGAAAAAACTTTCTAAAAAGGAAAGGCAAGATTAAACAAGTGAACCTAATTGTGTATTGACTTGGTAGCATAATTACACAAAAAGGACCTGAGTGCCTTTAAAACAGAATTTAGGTAAACATACCAGACGAGATTAACTCTCAGGATATAAAGAATTGCAGAATACATTTAGGGGTGCTTGGGTGGCTCAGTCGGTTAAGTGTGGGACTCTTGATTTCTGCTCAGGTCATGATCTCACGGTTGTGAGATCGAGTCCCCATGTCAGGCTTTGCTCAGGGCATGAAACCTACTTGAGTTTCTCTCTCCCTCTTCCTCTTCCCCTCCCCCTCCTCCGCTGGTGCACACAATTTTCTCTCTCTCTCAAAAAAATTGCAAAGTAACGTCAATAATCACACTGTTAATGATAATATTAGTATGGTGGACTTCAAGGCTCTGTGCAAAATGAGTGGTTCTGGGTCTAAGGCAAGAGATATATAAGCTGAGCCTAGAATATCTTATTCCGGGAAGCTAGGGAAGACTAGTGATGTATTAATTTGCTGAGGCTGCCATAACAAATACTATAGACTAGGTGACTTAACTAACAGAAATTCATTTTCTTTCATCTCTAAAGGCTGGAAGTCCAAGATCAAGGTGGTGGCAGGGTTGCTTTCTCCTGAGGGCTTTCTCCTTGGCTGCGGATGGTCACCTTCTTGCTGTGTGCTCGTACAGTCTTTGCTCTGTGTGCATTCATCCCTGGTGTCTGTCTTCTTATATGGACACCAGTCATAATAGATTAGGGCCCCACCTTCATGACCTTCTTTAACCTTAAGTGCCTCCATGAGCCACCTTGAGGGGCTTCCCACTAGCTAAAAACTAGACAATTTGAGCATTGATAAGAATAATAACAGCAGTGGATTTAAATCTATGAATTCATAATGGTCTTAATATTCTGAAAACTGGTCAAGGAAGAGAAAGAAGTAAGCATTTATTTTTTCTTTCCTGTGCAAACTGTACCTAGGTAACCTGGCTGAGTAACATGGCTTGACTGTGAATGTAATGATATAGTTGATGAGTGAAAAAAAATTTTTTTTTAAGCTTATTTATTTTGAGAGAGTGAGACAGAGAACACACACAAGCTGGGGAGGGGCACAGAGAGGGAGAGACAGAATCCCAAGCAGGCTCTGCCCTGTTAGCAGAGAGCCTGACTCAGGGCTCAGACTCATGAACCATGAGATCATGACCTGAGCCAAGATCAAGAATTGGTCACTCAACTGACTGAGCCACCCAGGCGCCCTATGAAAAATTTTCTTTTAACATGTAACAGTGGCCATTAATAAATGAAGAAAGTGGCAAAGTAGAATACCACCATTTTATATAGGTCTAATAAGATAATGAATAGACCTAGGCAGTGTTCATAAGTGGCCACTAAGAAGAGTGACAACCACACTGTTGAGCAAGTTGCCAATCATCATGAGTAGAAATGCAGATAGTTTTTTTTTTTTTAAGTTTATTTATTTATTTTGAGAGAGTGCATAAGTGTGCACAAGCTGGGGAGGGGCAGAGAGAGAGGGAATGAGAGAGAATCCCAAGCAGGCTTTGCATTGTCTGTCCAGAGCCCAGTGGGGGGCTTGAACTCATGAAACCATGAGATCATGACCTGAACCAAAATCAGGAATTGGACACTTAACTGCCTAAGCCACCCAGGCTCCCCAGAAATGCAGACACATCTGCCTTATCCATTTTGCTATCAAGATCACCAAGGAAAACAAAATGCAGTCAAGCACTGGCTGAAACAGCACTTTACTCACATTGAGAAGAAGCACAAGATCAGCTTCAATTGTAGGCATTGGTCCCCCATAGCAAGCAGTCACTCTCTGCAGTTGATGCAGAGAGATTGGGCTGCATACACCCGTCTTGTGCCAAAGAATGACTTCATCTTGTCCCCACAGAGGACAAATGTAGTAGTGGGGTTTGCCAGGTGCCATATGACACATACACTTACACAATAAAAGAGTACACACTGAGTCTGAAACAGGGCAAGGTATTCCCACACAAGGTCATAAATCCAACACACGCTGGAAAACACTTTCTTAGTAAGAAAGTGTTCCATGCTGAAAGCTGAGAGGGAGTTGAAAGACTATACAGGAGACTGTCTTCTCAACAGTACTTTATTATCTCCTGTAGGAAGTATACACATGCACCCCACCCCCATTTGAACTTGAATCAGGTCAAACTTCTGGCTCTAATAGCCAGTTTATATGAAATATACGGGATAGAGGAACCTGTTACATGACATGCAGTTAGAAAATTCAAAATGTGGGAAACTGCAGGAAAAAACTATTTTTTTCCAACTAATAAATTGTAGTGGGATGGGGATAATTATGGATTCAAAGAGAGACTTAGACATAGCAACCAAACGCAATGTTTGCACCTTGTTTGGATCCTCTTTTGAACAAAACAACTAAAAAGAGACAGTTGGAGAAATGTGATTACAATCCATTTAGTTTTCCATTGGTGTATAACAACTTATTCCAAAACCTAACAACTTGAAACAGTAAACATTATCTTGTAGTTTCTGTGGGTCAGGAGTCCAGGAGTGTCTTAATTGGGTCATCAGGCTCAGGGACTCACAGGGCTGCATTCATCTGAAATCTTCATGAGAAGAATTCACTTCCTGCATAGTGATTCTTAAGATTCACTTCCTCTCTGATGGTTGACTCCCTTAGTTTCTTGCTAAATAGGGTTCTCCACAGAGCATTTCACAACATGACAAGCTGACATCCATGAGAAGGAATAAGCAAGAAAATAAAAGAGGGAGAGCAAGATGAAAGCCAGTGTCTTTTTGTAACCTAATCTCAAAAATAACATCCCAACACATTTGCTATATTGTGTTCATTAGAAGACTTTCTGCATCTAGTCTGTACTCACAGCGGGGCACAGGGCATAAATACCAGGAGACATTTCAGAGGCTGCTTAGTGAAGACTGTAAATATAGTAATATTAAGGAATTTTTGGCTTTAGAAAGTAAGGTAATTATGGTTATTTTTTAAAGTTGCGATTATTGTGGTAATGCTTGAAAAGAGTTCATATCTTTTAGGGTTCCATACTGAAATATTTCCAGCTGAAATAGAATAAGAGGTCCAGGGCTTGTTTCAAAATAATCTAGTGAGAGACTGGCAGGAATAGAGGGGATGGCAGAAGGATTATAGAAGAAACAAGATTGTCTGTGTACTGATAATTGTTGGACCTAGACGATAAGTGTACTGTTATCTCTTTTATTGCTTTTATTTTTCATTTTCATTTAAAAGGTGAAAAGCAAAATGAAATAAGTAAGTGAATGACAAAAGAATGCCTTTAGTACCAAATTATATGTTCATGCCTTGGTACATTGTTACATTTTTAGATTTTGGAAAGATTTTTTTTCATTTTTTTTTTATTGTGGGAAAAAAATATATATCTCATAAAATTTACCATTCTAATCATTTTTAAGCATACAGTTCAGTGACATTAAGTATGTTCACATTGTTGTGCAACCATCACTGCCCTCTGACGTCAGAACTTTTTTCATCTTCCCAAACTAACACTCTGTATCCCTTAAACACTAACTCCCCATTCCTACCTGCTCCCAGTCCTTGGCAACCACCATTCTACTTTCTGTCACTATGGATCTGACCACTCTAGCTATCTCATATAACTGGAGTCATATAATATTTGTACATTTGTATCTGGCTTATTTCACTTAGTATAATGTTTTTAAGGTCTGTTTCTGTTATAGCATGTGTCAATATTTTCTTTCTTTTTAAGGCTGAATAATATTCCATTTTATGTACATACCACATTTTGTTTATCCACTCATATCTGTTGATGAACACTTGGGTTGCTTTTACCTTTTGGCTGCTGTGACTAATGCTTCTCTAAACACGAGTGTACAGGTATCTTTTTAGATCCCTGCTTTCAGTTGTTTTGTGGACATACCCAGAAATGGAATCACTAGATCAAATTGTGGTTATAGATCTCTTTTTTGAGGAACAACCATACTGTTTTCCAAATGGTTGTACCATTTTCCATTCCCATCAGCAATGCCCAGGATTTCCAATTTCTCTCTATCCTTGCTAACACTTGTAATTTTCTGTTTTGTTTTTGTTGTTTTGGTTTGGTTTGTTTATAAACCATCCTAATGGATGTGATGTGGTATCTCACTGTGGTTTTGATTTGCATTTTCCTAATTAGTAGGGTTGAGGATCTTTTCATGTTCTTATTAGCCATTTGTATATCTTCTTTGGGTAAATTTCTTTTCAAGTCCTTTGCCTATTTTTGAATTCTGTAAGGGTGTTTTTAAATAGAAAAGATAAACACTTAAGTCTGCCTACTAGCACACTTGCCATGGTGTATCATTGCTGTTTTTAGTTTGTATTCATCATTATAAATGAAGCTTCTTGAGGCATGGACTGTTTGTCTTCTCTCTTTGTTACCTTGGTGCTGCCTAGAACATAGTAAGAAGTGAATCCAAAAATTAAAGGAATTCTGTCATTTTGTGTTCTGAAAACATATACCCAAATTTAACCCTGGGATTTTAATCTCACAGTTTCTGTGGTATAGAGAAATGTGAAAGAGAAAACCTACCAGCACTGTTCCCTTAAATCATCTAATTTCACCTCATTCAAAAACTACTCCCTTCATTCCTTACTCCCAAGTACTCAGAAATAATGGGGTATTTGTAAAAATGAACATGACCATATGAATAAGTATTTTTCATCTTGTATAAGTTTTTAATTAAAGCATACATTACTAAAAAATACTTTGGTACAGATATTAACAGTGGTGTAACTAAGAATTTTAGCAAGTTTAGGTATAATTAATAATTACAGTTAAATTGTTAGTCTACATTTAGGAAACATAACAATCTGTATCTTCTTTTTTGGTATTTGAAAGGCTGCTCTTTGATGAAGACACATCTCTTAGATCTGAGTTCAGTCTCCATCCTGGTATAAGTGGAAGGTGCAAAGGTGAGAAATAATTTTTTTCACTAAATAGTCACTTTAATTTCCAAAGTGTTAATATTCTACTAACTTATCCTTTTATAGTTAGTTTTGTTTTTAACTTTACACAGAATTAGTTTCTTATACTCATCTGTAATAGACCCTGAGGTCTATTAAGATCTATTATTATAACAATAGCAAGGGGAATTCTAACTTCAGGAAGATGTTCATGGCTCCTAAAGGGGGCTACAGAGATATGCAAATGATACCCAGATAGCTCTTCTTGCAAAAATTTCCAGTTTAACCATACTACTTGCATATTTGCAGAAGTGAATAGTACTTTTTAATAACCAGTCTGAGGCACTTGGGTGGCTCAGTCGGTTAAGCGTCCAACTTCATCGCAGGTCATGATCTCACATTTGTGGGTTCAAGCCCCACGTTGGGCTCTGTGCTGACAGCTTGGAGCCTGGAGCCTGCTTCAGATCCTGTGTCTCCCCCTCTCTCTGTCCCTTCCCCACTCGCACTCTGTGTGTGTGTGTCTCTCTTTCTCTCTCAAAAATAAAATAAACATTAAAAAAAATTTTTTTTAAATAACCAATCTGATTATTTCAGGCTGAAATTAAGGTCCAAATATCCTTGGTTTATTTATATATATTAAATTTTTAAATTTGAGTACAGTTGACACACACTGTCACATTAGTTTCATGTGTACAACATAGTGATTTAACTTTTATATAGGTTATGCTAGGCTCACCACAGTGTTAGCTACCATCTGTAACATACATTATTGCAATATCATTGACTGTGTTCCCTATGCTGTGCCTTTTATTCCTGTGACTTATTCATCCCATAACTGGAAATCTGTATCTTCCATTCTCTTTCACCATTTTTTTCCTTTCCTCCCACCCCTTTCCCTTCTGGCAACCATCAGTTTCTTCTCTGTATTTACAGGTCAGATTCACCTTTTCTGTGTGTATTTATTTGTTTTGTTTTTTAGACTCCACATATGAGTGAAACCATATGATATTTGTCTTTCCTGGTCTGACTTATTATACACTATTAGCAAAGTAGCAGAAAGAAACTAAGAAAACAATCCTATTTACAAATACAGCAAAAAGAATAAAATACCTAGGAGTAAATTTAATCAAGGAGATGAAAGAATTATACTCTGGAATCACACAAACAAATGGAAAGATACTCCGTGCTCATGGATTGGAAGAATTAATATTGTTAAAACACCCGTATGATCCAAAGACATCTACAGATTTAGTGAATCCCTATCAAAATACCAACAACATTTTTTCACAGAACTAGAACAAATAATACTAAAATTTGTATGGAACCACAAAAGAGCTCAAATAGCCAAAGAAGTCTTGAGAAGGAAGAACAAAGCTGGAGGTATCACAATCCCAGATTTCAAGATACACTGCAAAGCTGTAGTAATCAAAACAGGATGGGTACCGGCACAAACGATTACTGGAATGGAATAGAGAACCCAGAAATAAACCCACACTTATGAGGCCAATTAAACTATGACAAATTAGGAAGAATATTCAGTGGGAAAAAGATAGTCTTTTCTATGCAATGGGGAAAAGATAGTCTTTTCAATAAATGGTGCTGGGAAAACTAGACAGCTATAAGCAGAACAATGAAATTAGACCAGTTTCTTACACCATATACAGAAATAAATTCAAATGGATTAAAGACATATATGAGACTTGAAACCATAAAAATTCTAGAAGAGAACACAGGTATCAGCCCTAGCAACATTTTTCTAGCTAGTTGTCTCCTAAGGTAACGGAGACAAAAACAAAAATAAACTGTTGGGACTACATCAAAAGAAACCATCAACAAAACAAAAAGGCAACCCACGGAACTGGAAAAAAATATTTGCAAATGCTATCTCTGATAAGGCGTTAATTTACAAAATATATAAAGAACTTAAACAACTGAACACCTAAAAGAGCAAATAACCCGAGTAAAAAATGGGCAGAGGACTCGAACTGACATTTTTAAAAAAGAAGACATACAGATGGCCAACCAGACGTATGTCTTTTGCTAAGTATCGCTAATCAGGGAAATGCAAGTCAGAATCACAATGAGATTTTCCCTTATACCTGTCAGAATAGCTAAAATCAAAACAGCAAGAAATAACAAGTGTTGGTGAGGATATAGAGAAAAAGCAACCCTTGTGCACTACTGGTAGGAATGTAAATTGGTACAACCGCAATGGAAAACAGTGTGGAGGTTCCTCAAAAAATTAAAAATAGTAATGCCATATGATCCAATAATTCCACTACTGGACATTCACCCAAAGAAAATAAAAGCCCTAATTTTAAAAGACATATGTACCCTTATAGTTATTACAGCATTATTTATAGTAGCCAGGATATGAAGTAACCTAAGTGTTCATTGATAGAAAAATGGATAAAGGAGTTGTGGTATATATACACAGCAGAGCAGTACACAGCTATAAGAAGAAAGCTCATACCAGTTGCAACATGCGGATGGTCCTAGAGGGGATTATGCAAAGTGAAATAAGTCAGACTGAAAAATACAAAAAAATATGGTTTCATTGATATGTAGTACATATATTTTTAAAAAATACCTTTCACCTACCACTTTTCTATACTTCCTGGGTCCACTTCTAGGTTTGTTTGTTTGTTTGTTTGTTTGTTTGTTTGTTTGTTTTAGAGAGAAAGCACACATGTGAGCATGGGAAAGGCAGAGGGAGAGAATCTTAAGCAGGCTCCATGCCCAGAGCGGAGGCCAATGCGGGGCTCAATCTTACAACTGTGAGATGATGACCTGAGCCGAAATCAAGAGTTGGTCGCTTAACCGACTGAACCACCCAGGCACCTTCTAGGTCAATTTAAATACTTCTAGAAAAATTCATCACCAATCGTCACTGTTCAAAAAGAGCATTTCTGCAGTAGCTGTTTAAGTGGTAGATTATTTTCTTCTGTGCTTTCTTCTTGTGAACCATTTTTAATTTTTATGGATATCTGAAAATAGGTATGGAAAAGAAGAAAAGTTTCTTTTTTTAAAATGTTATTTAAGAGAGAGAGAGAGAGAGAGAGAGAGAGAGAGCGCATGCAAGCCAGTGGGGGAGGCAGAGAGAGAGAGGGAGAGAGGGAATTCCAAGCAGGCTCCATGCTGTCAGCCCAGAGGCTGATGCAGGGCTCAGTCCCACAAACCATGAGATCATGACATGAGCTGAGGCCAAGAGTTGGGCACTCAATCTATTGAGCCCTCCAGGCACCCTGCCACTGTTTAAAATACCATTATTGTGGGGGCAGATACATTGTAGGGCATATATATATATATACATATATATATATATGTATATATATATATATATGTATATATATATATATGTCTTTCCACTTTTTTTGTTTCTTTGATCTCTTTGGCTTTTTTTACTCCTGTGCCATCACTGCATTATTTTATCAACCTTGGTTTTAAGTACATTTCTGTATCTGGTAGGGAAGATACCTTCCCACAGAGAGTAGCTGGCCATAGCATTCATCCTGAGCTCCTTGGTACAAACAGCAAGCTCAGTGAAGTGGGAGACCCACTGAGAGCTTCCAGTGTACCCTCTTCAATCTTTTTGTTGGATTTTCTCTGAGCTGGGTGGTTTTCTGAGATTCTGATGGAAGAAATCCAAATAGTTACTTCTGAAGGAGCCCCTCCTTTTCCTTTGTTGAGTGACATGCTGTTTACCAATGTTTGGTTTCCCTTTTTTAAAAAAATGTTTATTTTAAGAAAGAGACGGGATCCATGCACGTGCATGTGAGTACAGAAGTGGGAAAGGGGCAGAGAGAGAGAGAGAGAATCCCAGTCAGGCTCTGCGTTGTCAGCACAGAGCCCAACGTGGGGCTTGATCCCACAAACCACGAGATCATGACCTGAACTCTGGCTCAAGAGTCAGATGCTCAACCAACTGATCATTCAGGCACCTCTGGTTTCCCTTTAATACATTCTCATTTTGATCCTTGGTGGGTATATTTCATTTTTTCTCATTGCTGCTTCAGATTTTATTAAAAAAAAAAAAAAAAACTCCTTTGTTTGGATTCTTTTCAGGAACTAAGAAGAGAAGAAAAGTTAAAATAGGAGCTCAATTTCCCATCTTAAAAACACAAAACTCTGACTGTTTTTGTATTTTATACTAGCATTACAAGTTTTTAAAAATGACCTAAAATGAAATTTTAAAAAAAGAAAATACTCCTTCTAGTGGGGCTTAAGTCTGTATATTGTCTTTACTTATCCTTTGCATTCATTCATCCTGAAACAATAAATATCGAGTGTTGTTTTATTCCAGTGTAGTATATATGTTTCTTTGAAATTAATAACTTAAAAACTTTGGTATACAGGGGCGCCTGGGTGATGCAGTCGGTTAAGCGTCCGACTTCAGCCAGGTCACGATCTCACGGTCCGGGAGTTCGAGCCCCGCGTCAGGCTCTGGGCTGATGGCTCAGAGCCTGGAGCCTGTTTCCGATTCTGTGTCTCCCTCTCTCTCTGCCCCTCCCCCGTTCATGCTCTGTCTCTCTCTGTCCCAAAAATAAATAAACGTTGAAAAAAAAAAAATTAAAAAAAAAAAAACTTTGGTATACAGAAGTGGCAGTTAGGAAATTATAATTCACAAAATAAATTTAAATGACATTTTGTAGTTTCTATAAAATCATAGAGCTGTTGCCAAAGCAGAGCAATGAGACTATTTTCAAAGGATTTATGATTGTTTCATTCTAGGCAAACTTTCTCCTGAGATTCAACTTGGGTTTAAACTGAGAGATAATCCCCAAGAGCAAATGAATAAAAATAAGATAATGCCTCTTAATGACAAGGCAGTCTTACAGGTAGGTAGCATGTTGATTAAATACATACTTATTAAAAATTGGAAATGCTATTTCAAAGAGTGACAAATTACTAATGATTAATTCTTTTTGTCTGTTATTTTCTTTCTTTCTTCCCTTGCTCAGTTTTTTTTACCATTTCTTAACCAGTCATTCTGTTTCTTTGTTGTAACTTTGGTGAAAGCCTTATTTATTTATTTATTTATTTATTTATTTATTTATTTTTATTAAAAAAAAATTTTTTTTTAACATTTATTTATTATTGAGAGAGAGAGAGCATGAGCAGGGGAGGGGCCGAGAGATGGGGAGACACAGAATCTGAAGCAGGCTCCAGGTTCTGAGCTGTCAGCACAGAGCCCGACGCAGGGCTCAAACTCACAAACTACGAGATCATGACCTGAGCCGAAGTCGGACGCTCAACCGACGTCGGACGCTCAACCGACGGAGCCACCCAGGCACCCCAAGCCTTTTTTTTTTCTTTTTTTATTAATTTTTTTTTTCAACGTTTATTTATTTTTGGGACAGAGAGAGACAGAGCATGAACAGGGGAGGGGCAGAGAGAGAGAGGGAGACACAGAATCGGAAACAGGCTCCAGGCTCTGAGCCATCAGCCCAGAGCCCGACGCGGGGCTCGAACTCACGGACCGCGAGATCGTGACCTGGCTGAAGTCGGACGCTTAACCGACTGCGCCACCCAGGCGCCCCCAAGCCTTTTTTTTTTTAAAGGGGGATGTTGAAAATGTCTCATTTCTTCCTCTCTTTACTTTCCTTATCTATCTCTCTTTCATGTGGAACTTCTGGGTATATACCCAGAATAAGTGAAAGCAGTGACTCCAAAATATATTTGTACATCCATGTTCACTGAAACATTATTCAAGTAGCCAAAAGGTGATAGTAGCACAAGCATCCATCAACAGTTGAGTGGATAAACAAAATGTGGTACATACATAAAATGGAATTAAAAAAGAAGGAGATAGTGATTCATGGTACAGCATGGGTTAACCTTGAAGACATGATAAGTGAAATAAGTTCAGACACAAAAGGACAAATATTATATGGTTCCTTTTATATTAGGTACTTAGTTTCAGAGCGACAAAGTAGAAGGGTAGGTACCAGGGGTTGGGAGAGGGGTTAATGGGGAGTTAGTACTTCATAGGTATCGAGTTTCAGTTGGAAAAGATGAAGAAGTACTCTAGCTGGATGTTGATGATGGTTGTACAACAGTGTGCACAAAATGCCACAGAACTGTATGTATAAAATGGTTATGATGGTGAATTTTGTGTTATATATATATTTTACCACAACAAAAAATGCTAAGAAACAATAACATAAGATTATTTTAAATGTTACATTTTTAATTCTTGTATTAGCATTTATCATTTAGAAACAAAATCTCCCCCCCCCCCGCCCCCAGCAACCTCAAGATGAAATGGAACAAAGTCAAGCTCTATTCCAGTAAGTATATTAATTTCTGGCTTTGTTATATTGTAGATTTTTTTTTGTAATTTTACACACTAAAACAAGTCTTCATTTTCTCAGGAGTTTTAGAATTATTGTATTTTTTTTAAATGGTTGTCCCTTTAAAAAATAAAATAAAATAAAAACAGAGAGGGAGGCTAACCATAAGAGACTCTTAATTATAGAGAACAAACTGAGGCTTGATGGAGGGAGGTGGGTGGGGAGATGGCCTAAATGGGTGATGGGCATTAAGGAGGGCGCTTGTTGGGATGAGCACTGGGTGTTATATGTAAGTGGTGAATCACTTAGATCTACTCCTGAAAGTGTACTCCTGAAAGTGTACTACACTGTACATTAACTAACTTGAATTTAAATGAAATCTTGGAAGGGGCGCCTGGGTGGCTCAGTCAGTTAAGCGGCCGACATCGGCTCAGGTCATGATCTCGTGGTCCGTGAGTTCAAGCCCCGCGTCGGGCTCTGTGCTGATAGCTCAGAGCCTGGAGCCTGTTTCAGATTCTGTGTCTCCCTCTCTCTGCCCCTCCCCCGTTCATGCTCTGTCTCTCTCTGTCTCGAAAATAAATAAACGTTAAAAAAAAAAATTTAAAAATAAAATCTTGGAAGAAAAACAGATGCCCCTTTAGCAGCATAAGTGTTATTTACAAATATTCTAGATAAGTTTCATTTCATGAGGATTGGTTCATATTAAGTTGATTCTCTATTAATGTTATTTAAAATGTAAATTTATAGCATGACATGAAGGAAGAATTTGTAGACCTTATTGAAATTAGACTTTGTAGAATTATTGTATTTTAAAAGGCTTTATCCTTTCAGTTTTTTTTTTGAACAATGGTTCGCATGGCACCTGGGTGGCTCAGTCAGTTAAGCATCAGACTGTGGCTCAGGTTATGATCTCACAGTTGGTGAGTTTGAGCCCTGCATCAGGCTCTCTGCTGTCAGCTCGGAGTCCACTCTGTCTCCCTGTCTCTGCCCCTCCTCCACTTGTTGTCTCTCTCTCTCAAAACTAAATAAACATATTTAAAAAACCCAAAAAACGGTTCTCAAAGTATGGTCTGCAGACCCCTTCAGAGTCCTTGAGACTTTTTCTAGAGGGTCTGTGAGATCAAAACTATTTTCATGGGAACCTGGGTGACTCAGTTGGTTGAACATCTGACTCTTGATTTCAGCTCAGGTCATGATCTCATGGTTCCTGAGATTGAGCCCTGCCTTAGGCTCTGCGCTGGAGCTCCGAGCCTGCTTGGGATTCTCTTTTTCCTCACTTCTCTTATCTCCTCCCCTTATTGTGCTTTCTCTCTCTCTCAAAAGAAATAAACTTAAAAAAATTTTTTAAAAAGGCATTTTCATAATAATACTAACACATTATTTGCCTCTTTCATAGTATTGACATTTGCACATACAGTGCTAAAGTAAGTGGTGGGTAAAATGCTGGAGCCTTAGTAAGAATCAGGGCAGTGGCACCCATTAGTATTAGTAGTCACTGTAATTTTCACTCCCATGAACTAGCACTTAAAAAAGAAAAGGGAGGGGGCGCCTGGGTGGCGCAGTCGGTTAAGCGTCCAACTTCAGCCAGGTCACGATCTCGCGGTTCGTGAGTTAGAGCCCCACGTCAGGCTCTGGGCTGATGGCTCGGAGCCTGGAGCCTGTTAACGATTCTGTGTCTCCCTCTCTCTCTGCCCCTCCCCCGTTCATGCTCTGTCTCTCTCTGTCCCAAAAATAAATAAAAAATGTTGAAAAATAAATAAATAAATAAATAAATTAAAAAAAAAAGGAAAGGGAGAAAACACTCAGCTTCACTTAATGCATTTGATGAAGCAGAAAGGTTATTGTTTTATTGAATTCCTACCCTTGAATATATATCTTCTTGATGTGCTGTGCAATGATGGGGAAGTATGCCTAAGTACTTCTGTGCATACTGAAGCATGATAGTTGTCTTAAGAACACTTGTGCATTTGTTTGAATTATAAACATTGTAAGAAAATTAGCTCACTTTTTCTTTGAACTTGGAAGAATAATTGACAGACAAAATAACATTCATACTTGGGTATGTGGCAGACATGGTCTTGAAAATGAATGAAGTAAGCCAGTCACTTCAAGGAAAAGCTTATGATATTTGTTGCCAATGAAAAAGTTCTAGCTTTCAAGTGAAAATAAGAGGTTAGGAAAACTTGTTTTTACCACCTCAACCTTGATGGCTTCCCAGTACTTAAAAATTTTCCAGTGAGATCAGTGGTAATATTTATAAAAGTGATCTTTCTGATTTTTAATAATCTGTCAGTATAAGGAAGATCTGCATAACTCAGTGAATTAGTATTTTCTAAAAGACAAATGCATAATGTCACAAAATCACATGCAGGTGAAAGATCCATTCAAAGTGCAAATAGACCATTGGGTTATAATGTGACAATACAAAAAGTTCGTTGGTGTTTCAATTTCTACATTTCCAGTTCACCTGTAAAGTTATTCCTTTTAGAGTTTTGGTGTGATACTAGAGTTATCCAAAAAGACTACTAAAATACTCCTTCCTTTTCCAACTGTATACCTGTACGAGGCCAGATTTTTGTTATATACTTCAAATAAAACAGTATTTGTATGGTGGGGCACCTGGGTGTCTCAGTTGGTTGAGTGCTTGACTCTTGATTTCGACTCAGATCATAATTCCAGGGTCATGGCAAGCCCCAGGTCAGGCTCTGTGCTGAGCATGGAGTCTATTTGAGACATTCTCTCTCCCTCCCTCTCTCTCCCTCCCTCTCTCTCTCTCTCTCTCTCTCTCTCTCCCCCCCTTGCCCCTTTCCTCCCCACCTCCAGATCTCTCTCTCTCTCAAAACAAACAAAGAACTAAAAAAACAATGCTTGGCAAAAAATTGAATGCAGTAGCAGATAATGAGATGACAACTGGCTTTTATCGAAGCCATAATTTTTTCAAAATGTTAAATAATGCCACATTTTCATTTTGAAAAATATAATAAATTTTCATAAAATTATATTAACGTTACTGGATTATTGTTTTTTTATTTTTATTTATTTTTAATTTTATTTTTTTTATGTTAATTCCAGTATAGTTAACATACAGTGTTATATTAGTTTCAGGTATATGATGTAGTGATTCAGCAATTCTGTATCTTACTCAGTGCTCATCGTGATAAATGTACTTTCACTGTTATTTTTAAGTTAATGATTATTTTTTAAAATTTCTCTTTTTTAAATTATACATAAATATATATTTTATTTTTTTTCAACGTTTTATTTATTTTTGGGACAGGGAGAGACAGAGCATGAACGGGGGAGGGTCAGAGAGAGAGGGAGACAGAGAATCGGAAACAGGCTCCAGGCTCTGAGCCATCAGCCCAGAGCCCGACGCGGGGCTCGAACTCACAGACCGCGAGATCGTGACCTGGCTGAAGTCAGACGCTTAACCGACTGCGCCACCCAGGCGCCCCCATAAATATATATTTTAAATATATATATTATATATAAAATAATTATATAAATATATTTACAAATAAATATAAAATTATAAAAATTATATTAAATATAATATATTGCACATAAATAAAAGCCATTTGAGTTTCTCAGTAATTTTTAAGAGTGTAAAGGAGGGGCGCCTGGGTGGCGCAGTCGGTTAAGCATCTGACTTCAGCCAGGTCACGATCTCGCGGTCCGGGAGTTCGAGCCCCGCGTCAGGCTCTGGGCTGATGGCTCAGAGCCTGGAGCCTGTTTCCGATTCTGTGTCTCCCTCTCTCTCTGCCCCTCCCCCGTTCATGCTCTGTCTCTCTCTGTCCCAAAAATAAATAAACGTTGGAAAAAAAAAAGAAAAGAGTGTAAAGGAGACCAAAGAACAAAAAGTTTGAGAACCACCCTATTAAAATAACTCTATTATTGAATGTATTAGCACTGTAAGTTCATCTACAGAAATGGAGGAAGAAAGAAGACTAGGTAAGGCTAACACAGCATCCATGCCCTAGAGACCCATTGTTAACATTTTGGTACATTTTATTTCAGGCTGTTTTATAGTTTTACTTCTGTTTATATTTTTTTGCAAAATTAGAGTCATTCTATAATTTTTTGTTTCCTTTATAAAATTTTTAGTAATTATCAAATTATTTTCTTATGTGATTAATATTATTTAAAAACATGAATTTTGGTGACCTCACAGTATTTCACTGTATAACTTGACTGTATACTAATAATCATTTAATTATTCCTCTGTTAGACATGTACATTATTTGCTCTGTTACTTAATATAAATAAGTATTTTTTAATAATTTAGTTGAAAGTTTGCTCTATTTTCAGACTTATGTCTTAAATTCTCCTTTGTAATTAAGGAAAAACATTCAGTCGCTGACTCAGACTATGATTTTATTTTGTTTTAAGTCAGCTTGTTCTTCTCAAAGAATCACATTTTAGGGGAAAAAATCAACATTCATTCCTATTTGCCTCATAGAAATTATTCTGTATGAGCAGCTTCAGTTCCATTTTCAAGGTAGCGTATATTGATCACTTCTGTTTTTAGACAGGAGAAAGTGTTCAATTAATTATTCTTGCTTAGGCTTCAAGTAACCATGCCTGATGTGTAAAACTTCTCTCAAAACAGCTGGAACAAGAGGGTTTTGTTCTTTTTTTAAGAGAAATATCTTGATTGCCTTTGTGTAGTAAATTAGATTAAGGAAAAAATAATTAACTGAGTGCTTTTCTTCAGTCAACTTTTAATTATCCCAGGGCAGATGATAAAATTGCAGGGTAGCATGACTCTTATTTTGCTTTCAATCTCTTTCCATCAATATTTCATATGTGTTCTTTGCCTACTGTGAAATACAAGGTATTATAAATATCTGAGAATTTTCTCATTAGTGACTTTCACTTACATTTAAAACTATAATGACAAGCTTTCAGTGTATTGTAGGATTTCGATAACCGAGATACATAAACCAGGACCAATTTTTCTCCCCCACTATCCTTGGTACTGTCATCCCAAAGTGACTTCTACATCTAAATGTAAGGTTATCATGTTTACACTCCTGAACTTCACCATTAAGTTTTCAGCTTGTTCATTTTTGTAAATACTTGAAGTATAAATGTTAGCAAATTGGTAGTAATTGTAAAAGTAATTAAAATGATGGCGCAAAAAAAAATCATGCAATTTTGAAATTCCTTTAAATGAAAAAAAAAGTTTAAATTGTATTTGAATGAGAAAGTGTTTTTTTCTTAACGTTTCAAAATTTGTATCTATTTATTAATTGATTGATTTTTTTTAGGCATAGAAAAAGTTTTCCAGTGGTCACTGAATCATTGGCCCAGGCTGAACTTTCACTGAACCACCGAAGCATTCAAGGTATGTTTTTATGGGTAGAGTCATACAAAGTAAATTTTTCTTTGCCTAAAAATAGAAGGCTTAGTTAGATATGGATTTATTTGCGTTAATGGCTCTCAGAAGGCCAAATGAGTAGGAAGTTAAAAGTGTGGGAAATGCAAGACATTTGGCCTTCTGAAAGCCACGCATGCCATATGATGCTGTTGCTATCTGTGCATTCTTACCACCACCCTCACTGAACTTCTGAGTTGCAAGCCTTTAAAAGTGCCATGGGCACCAGGATTTTGACTTCGTGGTTTTTCTTGCTGCCATGAAGCTGCTGTGACTAGACGCTCCTTTTCCCTTCTGGCACTCCACTGCAACTCCCTCATCCTTTTATTCCTTTCAGAGTGTTCAGAACAGGAAGCTCATTTTATTATCATCCTAGACTTTAGGTTAAATTACATGTAAGGAAACTATTAAATTGTTAGCTAGTATTGCTAGCTCTGTTCTAATACAATCGTTCAAAAGTAATACTAACCAAATTGTAGAATGATCAAAATAAACGAATTAGTAATTGTTTATGAGTTAAAATTTAGCTCCTCTGAGCATTTTCTTCTCATTTGGCATTTTAGAATTCTTTTTTTCTACATTCATGTTACTACTACATTTTGTCTCAAGTGTTAGTAGGAAATGTACAAAATCTTTTAATAATTTATTAAAAGACCAAAACTCCACAAAATTTTTTTAATTTGTAAAAAATGTTTTAAGTAAATTTTGTAGCTAGAAAATGAGAATTTCCTCTAAATAACATTTATTTTTAATATTGAAGTCAACTAGTATACTATATTTTATTATACCAGCTTGTCAAATTTTAAAAATAGTAAGTATTAGCATAGAAGAATGATCATTTTTGGTGATGAGGTGATTAAAAACAATATAGAAGGAGGTGGTTTTGAGGATTTGCTTTACAATTTAGAGAAGGCAAAAGTGGATGAAGTCTTTTTCTGTGTTTTTAAACTAACTCCCCAAGGGTCAGACAGTTAAAAAAAAAAAGAGATAATTGAAAATGTATCTATTGTATTACAGTGTTTCTTTCATTTGTGCTAAAATTTTAAACAACTAGAGATAAGATTTTAAATGATAAGATATACACAATATCATGTATTATCATCATTGCTTGGCACAAAGAATTCTAATGCAAGGATAAGAAGTTATTTATTCATAATAACTTTTTGCTCTTCATCCTGTGAGGGTGTGCAATGCCATGATGTTAGCCTTCCTAGTTGATTTTCATAGCTTTGTCATCATCATATGGCAAAGGTAAAACAAAACAAAACAACAATAAGAGGCAGATTTTTGCACCATGTGATAAGCGTATTTATGCTTATTTTTTCCTGAAAAACCTGTGTTGCTTGTGAGGATGCATGGTAAGGTTACCAGACAATTACTTGGATTACGCTGTAGCTCTAGATACTGCCTAATCAGAAGAAACCAGTGAATGATTCAAGCATATGCCTGAAACTCCAAAGAGCCCTAATTTCCTACCTAAGTATGTCAGAGTACCTGGTCCTTGATGGTGAAGGTATGAAGCAAGAGGAATGGAATTTGAGAAATACCTTTTTTTCTGATCCTCCTTCAACTTCACTTGGTATGAATTGCAGAGGGAGCAGAGTGAGGAGGTAAAGGGGAAGTCATATTTAGGACAACCTCCTGATTCCTTTTGGCCCCTACATGGGGTGTTCCTTTACATGCCTAACTTGACAGCATAAATTAATTTATATTCTATTACCCATAATGGAGAAGATAATGACCCTGAGAAAGGAGATAAGATTTTGTGCTCTTTGTACTTACCTATTCTTAGAATCACTCAGCCGAAATAGAGAAGCTGGGTTTTAGCTGAACCAATTCTAAATAATTATAATTTTACCTATCTTCATGTAAAGTAGTATATTTTAAAGAAATGGAAAAAATTTTCTTTTGTTTATTGCCAGTGTAATGATACTTTTACATCAATAAATAGGTATAATGTTTATAAAATATTTTATAAATCACACGAATGTCTGAGGGAGTCATTTCAAGTTACATGATTAAGAAATGCTAAGTGAGAGGGTATGTTTTTAGTGCTTTAATAAAACTGGAGTAAAATGTATGGTTATCTTCTAGGGCCTGAGGCTGAAAATCCTGAAATTTTACCACACCCAGAAAAGGTTGGTCTATATAACAGAGATTGGCTATGCAAATCATGTGTTTAGATTTTTAAAACATTATATTGATTAAAGTTTAGCCATTTAGATTCTTTCCCTCTGTGAGAATATGACTAAACCATTTCAATAAATAGAAATGTATCCTTGTCTAACAACCCCTTCCAGTATTTGTTCTTCCTTTATCTTTAATAGTATTCTCTTGATATGTGTTTCTTTTTTGTATTTTAATTCCAGTGTCATTAACACAGAGTGTTATATTAGTTTCAAGTATACAATGTAGTGACTCAAGAACTCTATAAATTACTCAGTGTTAATCAAGATAAGTGTATTCTTAATCCTCTTCACCTATTTCACCCCTACCCCCATCTCCCTCCCCCCAATAAGCATGTTTGTATTTTATAGTTAACTGTCTGTTTTTTGGTTTGTCTCTTTTTGCTTTGTTCATTTGTTTTGTTAAATTCCACATATGAGTGAAATCATATGGTATTTGTCTTTGACGGACTTACTTTGCTTAGCATTATACTCTAGATCCATCCATTTATTGCACATGGCAAGATTTCATTCCTTTTTATGGCTGAATAATATTCCATTATGTATATACCATTTCTTCTTTATCCATCTATCAATGGACCTGCACTGCTTCTATAATTTGGAATTTCACAGTTCGTGAGATCATGACTGGAGTTGATATGAAGAGTCAGTAAGACGCTTAACTGACTGAGCCACCCGGGCACTTCTGTATACATCGTTTATATGTTTTAGATACTAACCCTTTATTGGGTATGTCATTTGCAAATATCTTTTCCCATTCAGTCTTTTAGTTTTGTTGATTGTTAATTGTTGCCTTTGCTGCATAGCTTTTTATTTGTAGTCCCAAGAGTTTATTTTTGCTTTTGTTTCTCTTGCTTTAGGAACCATATCTAGAAAAATATTGCTATGGCTGATATCAGAGACATTCCTGCCTGGGTTCTCTTCTATGATTTTTATGATTTTAGGTCTCACATTTAGGTTCTTAATCAGTTTTGATTTTATTTTTTGTGTATGGTATCACTGGTCCAGTTTCATTCTTTTGCATGTAGCTATTCAGTTTTCCCAGCACCATTTGTTGAAGACTTTTTCTCATTTCATTTTTTTGCCTCCTTTGTTGAAGATTAATTGACCATATAATCATGGGTTTATTTCTGGGCTTTCTATTCTCTTTCATTGATCTGTATGTCTGTTTTTGTGCCAATACCATACTGTTTTGATTATGACAGCTCTGTAGTATCACTTGAAATTTGCGATTGTGATACTTCCAGCTTTATTTTTCTTTTTCAAGATTGCTTTGGCTATTCAGGGTCTTTTTTTTTTTTAATGTATCAATATGGCTTTTAATGAATTTTTATTGTTTGAAGTCAACACCAGTTAATTAAACATCACATAGCTCACATGTGAACTTTTTTTTTTTTTTTTTTTTTTTTTTTTTTAACATGTGAATTTTTGAAACAAAGTCACTTAAGGACTACCTATTTTTAAAAACATAATATAAAAAATATGTCCTTCCAAGCACTATTTCTGATAAAAAGTGTGTGTGAACTTGTTTACATTTTAGGACCTGTGGAAATTTGCTTATCACTGTGTATACTGGTTAACCTGATTATCTGCCACCAGTCTAGGATGAAAAATGAAATGTGAGAAATCCAAAAGTTAGTAACTTTGGAATGAAGATGGCTATTTGGGGTCTTTTGTGGTTCCATACAAATTTTAGGTTTATTTGTTGTAGTTCTGTGGAAAATGCTGTTGGTATTTTGATAGGGATTGCATTAAATATGTATATTGCTTAGGGTAATGAGGGCATTTTAACAATATTTATTCTTCCTATCCATCAGCATGGAATGTCTTTCCATTTTTTTGTGTTGTTTTCAATTTATTTTATCAGTGCTTTATGGTTTTCAGAGTATAGGTCTTTTACCTCCTTGGCTAGGTTTATTCCTAGGTATTTTACTCTTTTTGGTGTAGTTGTAAATAAGATTGTTTTCTTAATTTCTCTTTCTGCTTCTTTATTATTAGTTAATGGAAATGTAATGGATTTCTGTATATTAATGTTTTATCCTGCAACCTTCTGAATTATTAGGTCTGGTAGTTTTTTGGTGAAGTCTTTAGGATTTTCTAAATATAGTATCATGTCATCTACAAGTAGTCAAAGTGTTACTTCTTCCTCACAGTTGGGATATCTTATTCTTTTTTGTTACCTGATTGCTGTGGCTAGGACTTCCACTAATAAAAGTGGTGAGAGTGAGGATCCTTGTCTCATTCCTAACCTAGGTGAGTATGACATCAGCTGTGGGTTTTCCTATATGGACTTTATTATGTTGAGGTATGTTCCCTCTAAACCGACTTTGTTTAGGATTTTTATCATGAATAGGTGTTGTACTCTGTCAGATGTTTTTTCTGCATTGATTGAAATGATCATATGGTTTTTATCCTTTCTCTTGTTAATGTGATATATCATGCTGATTGTTTTGTAAATACTGAACCACCTCTTGCATCCTGGGAATAAATCCCACTTGACTGGGGTGAATGATTTTTTAATGTATTGTTAGGTTCAGTTTGCTAACATTTTATTGAGGATTTTTGCATTTGTGTTCATCAGAGATACTGGCCTGTCATTTTTTTTTTGTGATGTCTTTATCTGGTTTGGGTATCAGGTTAATACTTGCCTCTTAGAATTAATTTGATAGCTTTCCTTCCTCTTCATTTTTTGGAATAGTTTGAGAACAATAGATATTAACTATTTTTTTTATGTTTATTTATTTTTGAGAGAGAGAAAGAGAGAGAGTGACAGTATAAGTGGGGGAGGGGCAGAAAGAGGGAGGCACAGAATCTAAAGAAGGCTCCAAGCTGCAAGCTGTAGTCTGCCCCTCACCCACTACTGGGGCTGCATTTAGACTGGTGTATGTTGTGGTTTTTCTTTCTCCCCGGGGCAGGAGTCCCTTCTGAAGTGGTGCTGGCCCCTGTCAGGGCAGCTTGTACACTCGGGATTCTTAATTGCATCTCTTTGGATGGGCTGTGACTGAGACCTTTTGGAGGGGGTGGATACAAAAAGTGCTTAGGGGTGGGACCACAGTGTTACCAAGATTTGCTCCCAGTCCTGTGCAGGTGGGGACCAAGCCTGGTAGGGTTGGAAGGGAGGATCCATAAAATCCATGGGAGCAGGTGTATTGTTAGAAGTTAGGTAGCAACTGTCTGTATCCCACTGGTCCCCCTATGTGGCCAGGTATTTAGTATGGGGAAGGAAATGGCACCTGCCAGCTACTTTGTTCCTGGAGAAGTCTTCCAACTATCCCTGTACCTCTGGCACACATTCTGAGATGAGTAAACAAATTTCCCACCCCTGTTCCCCAAGTATTTTCCAAACTGCTGCTTCTATGGTATATCTCTGTAGGCTATTTTTTTGTGCTGTCTCTTTAAGTGTGGGGACTTAGTTTCCTTTTACCCTCCTGGCTCTCCAAGAGGTGAGCCTATTGGTTTTTAAAGTTCTAGGTTTAAAGTCCCACTGGTTGTGAAAACCCATGAAATTCAGCCCCTCTGGTTTTCAAAGCCAAATGTTACAGGGATTTATTTTACCTGGGTCCCTTCCCGTCAGTGTGATGGTATGTTTCTCTCTTCTCTCCATCCCCTGGAGTTCTTCCCTCCATCCCCTGGAGTTCTTCCCTCAGGGAAGGTTCCACAGGTCTGTTTAGCTCCCCACTGCATCTCTGTCCTTCCTATACTCTTCAGTGTGGCCTCTTCTCTATATTTACCTATGGAGTTTGTCCTGCCAGTCTTTGGGTTGTTTTCTGTGTTATTTACTCTGATGTGTTATCTAGTTGTATCTGTGGAATGAAGTGAGCTTAGGGTCTTTCTATTCTGCCATCTTCCTTATACTGTATATTGATCTGTGTTTCTTATCCAGTAGTATTAGTCTCTTACCGTTTATCTGGAGGAGAAGTATGTAACTTATTATCAAACTAATTGCTGAGATGCTGTAGCAAAAATGCCTTCTGTTTGTATGTTACCCCAGTTCCTTCAATATTTCCTGCTAGATACTGTTTTCCCATCTTCCAGTTGCTAATCACTAACCATGTGTTGAGTGCTTGTTTTGGCTTTGTTTTCTGCTGAGTGCCGTGGGGAATCAGAGAACTGTAAGACTGACTCTGCCCATAACAGACTCAAGTAGTCAAGGACCTCCCCAGATCCACCCTGCCATACTTGTACCTTATTTTATCTCACCTATATGTTACACATTACCATCTCCATGCTTTTGTTTAAGTCAGGAGCCAGAAAGCAAGAGAAAGAACATAACATTTGGAACCAGATAGTGTGTGTTTCAAGGACAAGTGTGTCCATTTACGTGTGTAAAATACCAGTAGCAATATCTGTTTCACAAGATTACTGTGAGGACTGAGAGCAATGATAGTTCGTGGTGTCTGGCACCTAGGTAGTACTTAATATGTGTTTTTCCCTTCTTTAAATCCTTCACAAATTAATTTCTGGTTCAAGTCCTTTCCTCTGTGTGGATCTGTCTCAGATGACTCTGGTAATCTTGACCAAAGTAATGGTTCCCTCTTAAGCATTCGTTATTCACTGACTATGTCAGCATTTTTCAGTCGCTTGCATCCTATGACATTAGTAGATGAGATCTTGAGAAAAAGGATATTTGTGAACAAAAAAATTTGGAGAACCTATATCCTAAAGTCTCCTCAGAGATTTTAATGCACATGCTCTGAAAAGTCTTATGGTAAAGAAACCTGCTTAACTTTGTTTAACCAACCATTCTTCAAGCAGTCATGAGAACCCTCTTCTACCTTCTGTTTTTTTCCCCCAGAAAACTTCTTGTAACACTAGGCTCTTTTGTTTATGCCATTCATTTGAATTCATACAGTGTTTTGACATTGTTTATACTTTATTTAATGTCTTTGTGTTTATGCCTCAGTCTTCATTTAGAAATTAAGTTCCTTTAGGGCAGAGTCCAACATATGTAC